GTGTCCAAACTTTTGGCCTGTACTTTATATATATATATATATATATATATATATGTATATATATATATATGGTTATTTATTGAATGGCAGGAAATTTTGGAATCCATTAGCCACAGTGGCAGGTGGACAAAAAAGTTGATTTCAACCCTGTGTATAAGTATAAAGATGATTGAATGAACCAATATACAAAATAAATGTGAGTGAACGCAGCTTTAATATGTCAGTAATGTAAGTAAGATCAAACCTCCCAGCTTTTAGTCTTTGATACTGAAGGAAATGTTTGGACCACAAGGAGTTGTTTTATATGTTTTGTACATTAAAGTGGCTCAGTTTGTATTTGTGTGTATGTTTCGCAGCCACCTGTGAGATGTGTGGTATGGTGGGCGTCAGAGATGCTTTCTACAGTAAAACCAAACGTTTCTGCAGCGTGTCCTGCTCCAGAAGTTACTCCTCCAACTCAAAGAAGGCCAGCATTCTCGCCAGACTGCAGGTACAACACGCACCAACTGACTACCTTCATCGACTCACTCCATTTTGTTTTATGTTTGTATTATAAGTCGTCAGCTGGTCGCATGCTTCCAACTTCTCTCCCCTTCATTCTGCATCTTTGAAAACAGTGCAGCCTGCTGTGCGCTCCGAGTGCTGCTGCTTTAATATGTGACATACATAGAACATTTTTTTCCACAAATTGAATAAAACATACATTTAGTTGTGAGGAAGCACCAATACTAGAAAGAAATATTTTTTGCTACCTTTAGTTATTTAAATTTAAACATCCATGTTTAATCTTATGATGTTGAATACTACTGTTCACGCACATGTAAAGCTGCAGTGATGATGCAGTTTCTGATCAGCTGCAGCCTGCAGCAAACTCAACCTTAGAAGCAGGAATAGGGGAACTGAGACTTCCTTAACTTTAGACCTGGAAGGCCTCATTAGTCCTGTATATATATGTTGCAGTATACAGTGATACAAAATAGTTTCATCTGCATAAAGATGGATATTGCAATATACATACATTGCTGTGTACAGACATACAAAAGAGTGTCATCTGCATAAAAATAGATATTGCAATGTATAGTGTAATTTTATTTCTGTGTCATGCCACATGTGGCCCATCCCACTTGAGATTACAAGCACTGCTATTTTTTTAAAACACACATCTTTTGGTTACATGGTGTGCCAAAAAAATAAGAGCAAAATATGACCACATTATTTTGTGCTTCTGTTTCCTTTCAAATAACACATTTGATCATCTTTCAGGATTACTCCAAATAACAAAGAATTGATATTTGCTTTTTTAGTACTATGAAATAGTGTTATCTGCTAGGGATGTCCCGATCCAGCTTTTTCACTTCCGATCTGATACCGATATTACAGCCTTGAGTTTTGGCCGATACCAATCCGATCCAAGCGAGTATTATACATATTCACTTATTTTGTTGTCAGTCATGTTAGAAAAGGTTTGATCAAGCGATATTACTCTAACAAGAAAAACTACTTAATCAGGTTAGTTAGAATGATCCACAACAGTTGGTATGAGAAACTGACCCGTTTATTGTTAACAGGGTTAAATAAACAAACTTTAAACTTGAACATTAACATTACATAAAAAATATAGCTGGTTTGCTTTGGCTGCTTTGGCCCCTTAATAAATAGAAAATAAATCAACACAAGAAATCTTTAAAATGTCCAACATTGAAATTAAAATAGCAGCAAGACTCCACACACTTGTGCTTTGCCCCCCTAATAAATAAAAATAGATTAACACCACAAGACATTGTTGACATTTAACAAACAATGCAGCCTTTCCTTTTCAGTTATTTTAGTAGTGTCAGTGCCAGCCTGGTGCTGCTGTTTCCTGGGACCAACAGAGGGGACAAAAAACCACACACAATATTGTACAACTGTTTAAACAAGCAATAGTCCATCCATGGCTCCAATTTCACTAATTGTGCCCAAAACAATGCCATCAGTGCTCTTTACTTAAACAGTAAGAGTGTAAACCAAATAAAAATATCACTCTCAAAAAACCAGAGCAGAAAACAAATAGTCAGTTAACTAAATTGACTGCTACTCTTCCTACCCTCTGTGTGTGTCTGCCGTCTGGATGTTGGCCTGGTGGATTGATAGTAAGTGCTGGAGCGGATCACTCTAATGGACTGCTTGAATTGCGGAGTGCTGGGCTGGCCTGGATTGGACTCCGTGAAAAACTGGATCGGAGTTCTTGGATCGGCATTTTTCCATGCAGTCCAATCCGATGCCCGTTTTTTGCTAATATCGGCAGCCAATACCATCCCTATTATCTGCATAAAGACAGACGTTATAGGTATTAAAAGAATGGAATATTATTAATATAAATGTAAAAATATTGGCCCTAGTATGACACCTTGTGGAATACCTTTTAATATAGTTAAGAAATTAGATTGCCTACTTCTGTTCACTGTTTTCTGTCAATGTGTCTTAGCCATTTTTGTGTCTTAAAGGGGAAGCCTCCCACGAAGAAGGCCAAGGTTCTGCAGAAACAGCCTCTTATGACCAAACTAGCTGCCTACGCTCAGCACCAAGCCAACCAACAGAGTGGTGTCAAGAAGAGCGGTGAGTCCACATTATGTTTTAACTAACTAACCTTTGTGTTGGTCAGATTCTGGTGACAGATTTCATAAAAACAGTCTGGATTTGGACAAATTACCATAAGGAACTGAACTAGCCCTTTGTGGCTGTAGAAGCAAGAGATAAGATGAACCGGTATTCATCTATAGAAGGGAATTCAATTGTTGCAGCAGCACAAAAGACAGAAGTAAGTAAAGATGGAGAAAGTAAAAATAAAAAATAAGAATTGAGGTAAAAGTAAAAGAATTTTGTATTCTTTATTAATGTTTCTCGGCTATGCACCAAAACACCAAAACAAATTCCCTGTATGTGAAAACCTACATAGTAATAAACCGGATTTTGATGTATTTTATACCGCAACAGAGAAACATCCAGTGGACATGTGGGGTTCAGGTGATCCTGATTAAAAGTCTGCTGTCAGTGTATTTGCTGTATGTTTGTTAGTTTTTTTTGTGTTTGCTGCAGTAACTGTGGAGGTGTTTGACTGGGGTCGTTACCTAGGAGATGGAGACGTGACGGGAGCACCGGTCAGCTGCTTCAAACATGTGGGTGTAACACACATACTCACACATTTATCTGTTCATGCTCCCACATACTGGTTTTTATGTAATGTTTGTTATTTTCACCACATTCGACAACCAATTCAATCAAACTTTACTTACATTCAAGATTTAACTAATGTAAAAGTAAATCCGTATTTAAAGCCAAATGTTCCTTAAGTGTTAAAGTAAAACTACTTATTTGACAGAACACTTCAAAGGTGACACAGCATAGCTTACCGGTAGCCTGCAGCTGCACTTTTACTGATAGTCGGTAGCTTGCCATCCTCTGGCAATGAGCCAAAAAGTATGTGGTTTGTAGTTCTACCCTCCAACAACTTCATCCTCCACTCCACAAATCTACCGGCAAACTGCCCAGCTCCCAGGCTGTCCATTTCTGGGTAACTGTGGTGTTCCTGGAGATTCGTTAAGATTGTCTGTTAGTGGCAGAGGCATTACTTGGTTTTGTTTTTGTTGGCCAGATTATGTTTGTCTCAAACTCAGTCATTTTAAGCTACACCTATAAAGGTATGATTTTATATTTAGTACTTTCTTGTACTTTTTTTTTTTTTTTTAAATCCAATGACTGAGTATTCATGGGAATTAAAAGTTAACTTCTCTTTGAAAGGGTGAACTTGCATTATTATGCTATTTTTATTATATCAGTGGCATAAAATGGTCTTAAGATGGCAATATTGTTAATCACAATTATTTCTGGGACAAAATATCATCCAACAAAGTCAGTTATTGTGACTCATTTGTTGTTGTTATCAATTTAATTTTATTTGAATAATGTATTTTTGTTTAGGTCCCAATGGGGAAGTCGTGGGGTGACATCAGTGAAGGCGTCCGGGTCGAAGTCCCAAACACTGACAGCGGTTTGCCCATGAAGGTTTACTGGATCGCTGGCATCATCAAACTGGCTGGTACATATGAATGTTTTATATAGTTATTTTCTGTATTTAATTAATTTTTAGATATTTTACTACAAACATACAAACAGGAGCAAGGTGTCTACAGGTCCTTAAAAAGTCTTAAATTGTCTTAAATTCAGATTTGATGCTTCTTCTTCTTCTTCTTCTTCTTCTTCTTCTTCTTCTTCTTCCGTCACATAACCGCAAAACTTTCTCCAGCCTGACAGACACAACGACTGTTGGGTCTGTCACAATCATTGGACAGACCAAAGAATTGCAATAATTAATAGCATTTATGAAAGTGACGAGATTTTTTCCTTTTACATTAAACAGATTAAACCAGGGGTAGGCAACCTGTGGCTCCGGAGCCACATGTGGCTCTTTAGCCCCTGTCCAGTGGCTCCTTGAGCCTTTGAGAAAAGAAGTCTATGGAAATTCATTCTATGAATCCAAATGTTGCTGAACCTCGATAGCAGTGGCTGGTTAGCTATGGATGCCAAATCCAAAAAAGTAAATTGAATAAAATAGAGAATGTAGTAGTGCGTGGACAGATTTGTTTGTTCTCACTGCCAGCTCTGCAAAATTTAAGTACCAGATAATTATTAATAGTGACCTGCACAGTGTCCACCTTGTGGTAAAACATATTAACAAATGTTTTTTTATACCATAAGTATACTCTAATTTAGACTTAATAGGCTATTTACCTTGATTATAGGGCTCAAACATGTTTTGCGTCTCCACACAGATTTTTTCAAATTATTTTTGGTCAAAAATGGCTCTTTTAATGGCAAAGGTTGCAGACCCCTGGATTAAACTCACCTAATTGTTGTCATTTTTCCTTACTGTTCATTTTGAACTGACAACAGTGTGTTTACTTGGAAAGAGCACTTACACGTTTGTCTCTCTCACACACACACACACACACACACACACACACATATATATATATATATATATATATATATGTGTGTGTGTGTGTGTGTGTGTGTTTATATATATATATATATATATATACACACACACAGGTATATATAAAGGTGCATTTCTATATTAAGTGGTCTTGCCTTCGTTCTTTTTTTTTTTAATTATTCAGGCTAATCTTTATGGATAAAGCCTCTTAATATTGTCCCAGTTATTTCTGTAATTTTGTTGTTTTGGCTTGGGGGTTTTTGTGTGTGTTTTTTGAAAATAAAGGTTATCACAAATAAATGTTATTCTAGTGGTGTAGATTTTTAGAAACTGGCTCACCTAAGAGACCTTTAATTCCAATTTCTCTTGAGCTTTAACAAATCGATTCAGGTGGACCAGTAATGGCGATGATGATGGTGATGATGTCTCTGTGCAGGTTTTAAGGCCCTGATGAGGTACGAGGGTTTCGACGGCGACTCCACCAGGGATTTCTGGTTGAACTTGTGTGTGCCTGACATTCACCCAGTCGGCTGGTGTGCTGCTGGAGGAAAACCTCTGGTCCCCCCTAAGAGTAAGAGAGAGAGACACGCGGTGCGGGGGTTAACTTCTAACTTCCTGTCAGTTAGTGTAGATATAATATATATGTACTCTGCAACATTTAATTGTAAAAAGAGAACAAATTTTTAGGAAACAACAGCAGTGATGCACACTGACTCAAAGTGTTTTGACAAATACATTTTCGATAGTTGCTTTACAAGAAAAGTGTCTGTGTAAATTACCAATGCAAAGCTTTTAATGTGAAACAGTGCTTTTAGAGTTTAAAATTTAGTTTAGAATTTACATTGTTTTGGCTGTTGTTTAAAATATGTTCATAAGAAAAATTCAATACATGTCTAACGTTATGCACTTCCTTGTATTACTAAGTTAAAAGCTAGTGCTGTGCTGCGTGTTAATAGTATCACTTGATACATATAGACCAGTCTGGCATCACATAAAGGCTGGGCCCCCTATGGAGAAACAAATATGCAAGAGGGAAACAGGGAAATGCAGAAAAACTGTTGATTCACGCTGAGATTTGTGGTACATAAGATTCGTGAATATTCACTGTCAGTGTGGTAAATGGCCAAGTGATGCTGGTGACAGTTACAGCTGATGGATAGCTAACATTGGCTTGAGGTGGAAGGCTGCTGCAGTAAATTCATACAGTACTGCAGCATCAGACTATCCTCCCCAACTAAATCTCAGCCTATGCATCAAACAGTTTTCTATTGACAGGCTTTTTACTTACAGACACCACTTAGCCTTGTGATAACTGGTGATTCAATCAAATAACAATATCCATCACTGTGTTGGGGAAAGACTGAAGGTGCATGATGACAGTGATCAACCTCAATTTATTATGGTATCATAAACAAGCACTCTGTTTCAGGCAGTGTCACAAACGATAATTAGACATGGCCATTAAACTAACATTGGTTTTAAGAAGAAACAGTGCATACAAACTTGTCAAAATTTGAATCCAAACACACATCAAATTGCATTTTCTTTTCCCCCAAATGGGGCGTGGCCTTGATGCTTTGTTACATGCCCGTATGTGCGAGTTAGTTCTGTTGGCGCTAACTGACAAAGCTAATGTTAGCATGCAGGTATCAGAAGAGAAAAAAAAGGTAATATGGAGTACTGTTGATACATCTGACCTGAAACTTGATAAATGCTGTTTAAGAATGACGTCAATCTGGCAATGGTACTACTGTACTCTCAATAAAGCAATCGTACTATCAAATTCACAAAAACTCTGAATACATTGCTCTTCTTAATGGGTTCAGTTGACTATTTAATCTGCAATTTCCTATGACCTGTATCTCAAACACACACCACGTGAAACTGTACATGGGCAACTGTGCACTTAATGGGTATGGACTAGTTTGACTAAATGAGTAAATAACGTCAGCTAGCTTAGATATTTCCCGCTTATTATAAACTGTGTGATTACAGCTTTCTGTGTATTCATACACACAGATTTCTCCATGTATGGAGACAGAAAAAACATTTACTCAAGATTTATCTGTTTGTGTGTGCACTCAGGCATTCTGCACAGGTTCACTAACTGGAAGACGTTTCTCATCAAAAGACTGACGGGATCCAAAACGCTGCCCCCAGACTTCCCCTCCAAGGTCAAGCACACACACACACACACACACACACACACACACATTTGTACTTCTCTACTTGTGAACATACTTCTATACTCGTGTCATTGACATATTCCATTCTCTAACCCTGTCATCAAACCTTAACCCAAACCTAATCCTAACTTTAAAACTAAGTCTGAAATTGAACCCTCAAAATGTCCTCACTTTTTTAAAAAATCAATCATTTCCAGGTCCAGGAGAGTATGCAGGTTCCCTTTAAGAAGCAGATGAGGGTGGAGGTGGTGGATAAAACTCACCTGTGTCGGACTCGGGTGGCTCTGGTTGAACAGGTGGGTCTCATATAGCCAGTATTTGATGGCAGAAGTGTTAAATGGTTTTGGTGGTAATGATGTGTGTTGTGGCAGGTGATCGGCGGTCGTCTTCGTCTGGTATATGAGGAGTGTGATGACGGTTCGGACGACTTCTGGTGTCACATGTACAGTCCTCTGATCCACAGCATCGGCTGGTCTCGATCCATAGGACACCGTTTCAAACGATCCGGTGGGTTTCAACTTCAGAGTATAACTGACTGAAGTCTGCATCTCGAAACCGTTGAATTCAAACATTAATTAATTTCTTAATTTTTTTTATTTTATATACTTTATTAATCCTCGAGGGGAAATTCAATTTTTCACTCTGTTGTCAATTACACACAGGTCCGAACACACACATGCACAAACTGGACCTATACATGCACTAAGTGGAGAGATGTCAGAGTGGGCTGCCCATGACAGGCGCTCCAAGCGGTTGGGGGGTTCGGTGACTTGCTCAGGGGCACCTCGGCAGTGCCCAGGAGGTGAACTGGCACCTCTCCAGCCACCAGTCCACGCTCCATATTTTGGTCCAGACGGGGACTTGAACAGGCGACCCTCCAGTTCCCAACCCAAGTCCCTATGGACTGAACTACTGCCACCCCCAGCAAATACATTTACACAATGTTTAGTAATCTAAAAGTTTTAATACTCCATCAGATGCTTCAGAATGAATGAAGGTTGTTCTGTCTATGACTGGCTCTGGAAGTTAGTTTGTGTCTCACTGGTGGAGCTACATGTAGAGATGTCATCAGACTGCATTTAAAAAACTTTAAGCCTGCAGCTTGACGGTGAAGATGAAAATGTGTGTTCCCAGATGTGTCGAAGAAGCTCAGCATTCAGATGGATGCTCCTGGACAGCTGTTTGCCAAGGTGAGAACAACAACAACATTACCTGTCCTCCTGTCTGTAAGTCTCGATCTTATTATGCCTCCGCGCCGGCAGCAGCCATGGCCACAGTCTTTATATTTTTGGGTTGTCCTTCCGTCAGCCCATCCCATTCTTATGAACAAGATATCTCAAGAACGCCTTGAGGGAATTCCCTTAAATGTGGCACAAACTTGGACTCAACAATGAACTGATTAGATTTTTGTGGTCAAAGGTCAAGGCGCCTGTAAACTTGTCTGTCTCATTCTTGTGAATGCAATATCTCAAGAATACCATGAGGAAATTTGTTCAGATTTGTCACAAACATCCTCTTGACTCAAGAATGACTTGATTAGAATTTGGTAGTCAAAGGTCATATATCTTATGCTGCCGGGGGGAAAATGTGTGTGAAGCATCCATGTTTTCACAGACATGGATATTAACTGTGAGTGCAACTTGACTGGTTCGTGGAGGCATACAATCTTGAGGCAATACTGTACGTCTAGTTTTACTTTCAATATACATATGGTTTGCTGCTTTTACTTTGATTTGACTTTTTAAGAAAAGCAGAAATGTCGAGACTAGGTTCAAAGACAAGAGGAAGCTTTTATGACCTGGACAATAATGCCCAAAAAAATGGTTTTGTGAAAAACATATTTTCCTGACAAAATTACAAATGTTTAATGATCATCAGTTACAACACTTAACAAATTTTTATGACCTTGTTTGTTTACAAATGCAGAGTATTCAAAGACTCATTTTTGTCTGGTTATCAAATTACATTAAAAAAAGGCACATTCTTTGATCTAAAGTGACCTAATTTTTCCCCCTCACACACACATGTGGAGCAGTCGGAGATTCAGTGCTGTGCTCAAGGAACCTTTGATGTGTGTGCAGGAGGAGCTGGGGAATTAAACCACCAAAATTGTCTAAACAGTCTACCAACAGAGCTTCAGTGGCATAATTTTCTGATTAAAATCATAAATATTCAATTACCTTTGTAACAGATCGTTTGTATGGTACATTTATATAATATAAAAAATTAAATGCACTTATATAATCATCTTTGTTTTCTGTTGGTACAAACAAACACCAAAAAAAATTAGAGTGTGTGTTAGTGGTTGGCTGAAGGTTATCAGTGACCACACAGCCTTCACACATATATTTTATTACATTTCTAGTTACTCAGTTTTGCAAATACCTCGCTATAGTTGTACTCTGTTGGAACCATTTAACAGCTCAGTGTTGAATGTTCGCCACAGCTGCCTGTGTTAGCTCATGCTAACCAAGCGGACGTCAAACTGACCATTTGCTCGGCTTCGGAGATGGCAGCAACAGAAAGTTTGCGGATCTAGCAGGGAGTCAGGATGGCCTGGGATCAGATACCAGACACAAAAAAGGTCGAATGCAGTTATTGTTCGCCTGAAAATGTTACAATACTTCTTGGTACTGGGTTATTTCAGTTGATAACTTAAATGTATCAAGTACTGATACCCAGCCCAAGCATTCAGGCGTCTAACTCCCTCTTCCTCTCCTTGCAATTCAAGCTATCACAACTGAAGTTATATTTAGTAACTAACTTTACTATTAATAACATCAGGCATAACCAGTGGAAACACTGGGTGTTTTTGCAACTTAAGTGTCGAGGATTTTGATGTTCAATAACTTCAGTAATGTCTGCTGCCTTACGTTTGACACACAGCTCCACTCGCTCACCAGGGCTCCAGTCTGCGTTTGTCTTCATCCACCTGTAGCACAGCAGCCTTCACTGTTGATAGGCAAGTACTCGTAACCAATCAGATAGTGCTGTGAGTAGGATACTGGGTGACGCTACAGAGTGGTGATTGCAGACAGAGGCAGGCGGCTACATCAGAAAGTAGTGTAGTTTTCAATTAACTTACTTTATGGACTGTCTAATTTAAAAAAAAAACAAAAAAAAAAACAAACATTCATATAATCAGAAAAATGCTGAATATTGTGGCCGATAATCAGTTGACCCTTTCTGTCTGTAACGTGTTGTTGCCACAGGAAAGCAGTTTAACACCTGTACTGTATTTAATACACACACAAACATCTTGTACTCTCACCTGAATTTTCTGGGTAGTTTTGACCTTTGACTTCTCAGTTTTGGTCCCAGTTCCACTTCGTCATCTTTAATATTTTGTTTGGTTAAATCAGCATTCAGGCTCCAGGTAAGAGTTTGCAAAAGAGGTCTGATCAGTGTGTGATATGTTCCTGTTCAGGTGAAGGAGGTGGATCAGAGTGGTGCCTGGTTTGAAGATGGGATGAAGCTGGAAGCAATCGACCCTCTGAATCTGTCTGCCATCTGCGTGGCCACAGTCAGGAAGGTGAGGACCAGCTGATGGCGACACAAACATGATGGCCAGATTTACCTTCAGTGGATAAAACCACCTGTCACCTGTCCTCATCAGGTCCTCGCAGACGGGTATCTGATGATCGGTATTGACGGTTCAGAGGCGGCTGATGGTTCAGACTGGTTCTGTTATCACTCCACCTCTCCCTCCATCTTTCCCGCTGGTTTCTGTGAGATCAACAACATTGAGCTGACGCCCCCCAGAGGTACAGCTGCCTACTGACAGCTCCACCACAATGAATGGATGAATTTTTATTAAGGTGTTATGCACATGCATATTAATCTCCAGTGCGCAATAGCCTTTAAGACACCATAAATTCATACAAATCAGGACCAGAGTGCTGTGAAAAAAATAAACAACTTAGGCATCTTTCACATTCCAATCTTTAGACTCTTTGTCAACAACAAAATGAATAAATCACTGTGAGAAACATTTATTATACAGTACTGGAGAAATCAGAATAGATCAGATCAAATAATCCATCTTTTTTGAGTTAACGAATTTAAGCAAGTGGAAATGAAACATCCATTCCAGTTTTGCTTATCTGAGCACCAGTATCAGGGTTGACTCACTTTCCATTTCACCAAAATCACACATACAGGGCTTAAAGTACTCGGGTGTGGCTCCGTGACTCCGGCTTGACGGACATTTCTAGTATTTCTTTTTTATTTTATTTTTTTTTTGTGGCAACAACTTGGCATAAGTTAGCACTGAAGGAATCATCTTCTGATTTTCAGTTAAGCACATGGGTAGTTCCGCCAATAGTATAGTGTTATCAAACTCAGCTGGCCAATAAGAGCTGAGTGGAGAGGGTCTAAAAACAGCAAACACACACACACACACACACATGGACAGGGTTTCAACACACACTACTTCCAAGCACATGTTGTTAAGGTGTCCGTTACAGCCTGATGAATGTGCAACAGAAATGAACAATTGAACTGCATTTAAATGATTAGCTTGTGTTAGCTTGACCTCCAGCTATCGTACACAGAGAGAAAACAGCATGCCGTGTGCGTTTTGTGCAATAGGTGGATGTGGTAGTCTACTGGTAGAGTAGAGAGAGAGAGCTAAGTAGTGTTGAAGTAGAGTAGAGCAGGGCAGAGAGATGGAAGCAAAATATATTAAACCCAGTGTTAATACAGCAGAACTGGAGAGAGGGGTGAAAAATAAATGGAGGTGGACATGGCTTGAGGAGGAGGGCACTGAGGGCAAAACATTTAATAGCCTAGATGGTGCAAGAAGCAGGTGGTGCGCCCAGAGCCCTATTGGGCCGGGATCCCACCTCAGCCGGCACGCACTGGCCCTCACTTTCATTGTGCCATGGGGTTTCGACCAGACCCTCTGACTCACACGCACGTTAGACGGACTAGGTCCGTGTTTCAAGATGGGTCGGATGGGTTGCCGACATCGCCGCTGACCCCTAGCGCCTGTTGTATGTGGGCTGGTCCCCGCCATGGCGACGGCGCGGTTGAGGCGCACTGAGGACAGTCCACCCCGGTCGACAGTCACGCCGGGAGCAGGGGGCCCCGTCCCTCCCCGGCTGAGGGGAAGAGAAGGCGCAGAGATACTGTGTCCCGTGGCCCTGGGAAGCGGCGAGGTCCGGGCAGGGGGCGCTGTAATTAAGCCCAAAAGAATGAGAGAATAATCAATCAATCAATTTTATTTATTAAGCCCAATATCACAAATCACAATTTGCCTCACAGGGCATTACAGCATACTACATCCCTCTGTCCTTTGGACCCTCGCAGCGGAAGTGAAAATGGCATCACCTGTTCTTGTATTTTGTTTCTTTACTAAAACATAATTTAACCATTTGAAAGAAGAGCAAGTTTTCTCTTTGCACTTTAAAGTTTTACATAATATCACACAGCTGGTTTCCTCCTGAATATTTTGGAATGGACTGACCTCAATAACGAGAGGAAGAACAGCAGGTCTGACCTTGTCTTGTTTTCATGTTTTCAGGTTACACCAATCTTCCCTTCAGATGGTTCGAGTATCTGAAGGAGACCAAGTCTGTTGCAGCTCCTGTTGGCCTCTTCAACAAGGTGAGACCAAATACTTGTCAATTGACAGAAAACTAACCTGCAACTATTTGATGATCATATGGTAGTTGAAGTCGCTTTTCAAAAAAAAGTATCAAATATGTTGATGGTACCTGCTTCTTCAATGTGAGGATTTGCTGCTTGTGTTTGTCACACATTTTAGTAAATTGATCTTACATCATTGTAAATGATTTTCTTTGGGCTGTTGGTCAGACGACAAAAACAATCAGAAGACGCCAGTTATGTTCTTTTGATTGAATAGAGTCATGATTATTTAAACAAAATCACAAGAGCTGAGATGTGAACGTTTTTTCCAACAAGGTCCAGAGGTGTTAAAATTCAGACAGAAAAAATGTCAAATTAATCAATAGGATCTAATCAATAGAATTAAACACACACACATGCAGCATTAATTTACTCATATTTCTTTGAGGTCCACTTTGAATTTGTGTATTTTATTTTCAATTAGACTGTACTTTTTAAGTACTATAATACTTTACTATTTAATTGCAGGAATCTCAAACTCCGTTGGCAATATTCAATTTTTTAATTTCTTATTCTGAAAATAATCCTGTCTTGTTTCTAAAACTCGATTTAGTGTTATTATTTATTCATTACTGGCAGAATAAGAAATTAAAAAGATAAATATCGACAATGTAGTAGGAATAAAATTTCCAAAATTGTACATATATATATATATACAGTACAGGCCAAAAGTTTGGACACACCTTCTCATTCAATGCGTTTTCTTTATTTTCATGACTATTTACATTGTANTTAAGTACATAACTCCACATGTGTTCATTCATAGTTTTGATGCCTTCAGTGAGAATCTACAATGTAAATAGTCATGAAAATAAAGAAAACGCATTGAATGAGAAGGTGTGTCCAAACTTTTGGCCTGTACTGTATATATATATATATGTATATATGTATACTATTTTTTGGTAAATATGTATTTAAATTCTTAAAACCAAAATAATACTATGGTATCACATTTTTGTATGTTTTCATATAATTTGGTACTTAAGAACCCAACAATAAACACAGTGTAAGCCTCTGAACTTTAGCTTGTGCAAAAAAAGGACATATTTTTATGTTCTGTTTGCATTTATTTAATTAAAACCGTAAAATGTTTTACAATTAGGTTGGAGCAACACCATACTCATGTGTGATGTGAAAACAGAGACTGAAAATGAAGAAACATGAAGATATGTTTGCTGTATAAATGTAGTTTTACGTAACAATAAAGGTCAGATTTTCTCTGCTGTGTTAATAAACCTTGATCTGTCTTCGTTCCTCCATCAGGACGTCCCTAATCACGGTTTCCGGCCCGGCATGAAGCTGGAGGCTGTGGACCTCATGGAGCCAAGGCTGGTCTGCGTTGCCACTGTGACCCGCATTGTCCACCGGTTGCTACGTATACACTTTGATGGCTGGGAGGACGAGTACGATCAGTGGGTGGACTGTGAGTCACCTGACCTGTACCCAGTTGGCTGGTGTCAGCTGACCGGGTACCAGTTGCAGCCTCCTGCTGTTAATGCAGGTAATACACATGAACACACACACACACAAATTTGTTCTTATATCTTTGTGAGGACCCTCATTAACACAAAGCATTTCCTAACCATCACGAATCTAGCTGTTGCTGTCTCCTGTGTGATGAAGAGAGACTTGTTGTTGAGGTCAAAAAATATCCCAAGCTAAACGACCCACAGCCCCAACATTATTAATACAATGGCCAAAAAGATATTGCCTAGCCAGTCATAGCTCTGGAGATCGGCTCCTCAGGTGAGAAATCGAGTTTAATTAGGGGCTCCCCACATGTGATTTAAAGCTAATGCAAAGATGGAGAAGGTACAGAGCTTTCAGATGTAGTAATAACTTTGTGTGGTCTTCTGTTGACGAGGTGCTGCGCAATGCATCCAGTGTGTGCTAGGGGCAGCATTTAACGTGCATCACATGATGTGCAGCATAGCAGCAGCATCAGTGTGTTATCAGCTTTAATCTTTCAACAGGTCTTTGAAGAAGCGAGGACTGGTTGAAGTGTCCTCACTTTTCAAAAATATCCTCACTCTGTTGGTTAAAAACATGTGTCAGTCCTCACTATGTAGCAAGTACAAGTACACACACACACACACATACATACACACACGCCTTAAGTTTCATCCTAGGTCTTGAATATGTAATTACTTTCTTTAAAGTTGTATTTATTGACGTACAGTGGTGGAATGTAACTCAAGGTGCATTTGCCCAAGTACTGCACAGAAGCTGAAACTATGAAATGTTTTTGACATTTTTGCATGAAAAATGATTTATCAGTTATCAAAAGAGTCGCTGCTAAAAAAAAATTGATAATTGAGTAATCAACTACCTGATTGACTTGTATTTTAGGCTCAATTTTCAGATAATTATATTTAATTATATAAAGTTGGGTAGGTTCTTTTTCTTTTTACAATGCATCATGTTTTGTATGTTCTTCATGTGTTTTGTTTGTAAATCTTGACTTGTAAAGTAACTAAAGCTGTCAGATAAATTTGACAAATCAAATCTGTACTTAGGTACAGTACTTGTATAAATGTACGTAGTTAGTCAGTGCCTTCCCTATCAGCATGTATGAGCCCATTGTAAAGCAACAGTGATTAGCTACCTAGTGAGATACATACATAGGGACTCACATGCACTCACATGCACACATGGCCGGACTGACTTATCACAACAAACCACAGAGAAGTTTGGATTACAACTCACACAGAGGGAGCGTGACTTTCTCTGTGCAGGACGCCATTACTCTACTATATCTTTACATAGCAAATAGTGGTTTGCTGCTGTAATAATGCTCTGAGTGTTGTATAAAGCTCCTTTAAATACAAATATAAAATAAAATATATGTGTTTGTGTGTCTCAGGCTCCAGAGAACTACAGTCAGCAGCTTCCAAACAGAGGAAGAAGTCTCAGCAGTACAAAGGACAAAAGAAAAGTAAGTCTTTGAAGCACAAATGACACAGAATGGAAACACCCTGCAGTTTCAATCAGCTGGGTCAAAGTGAAAAAAAAACTTGAGTTTATTCCACTAATCTGTGTTTATAGATTGAGAGTGAGAATATCTTTATGGTAAATATATGTTGTATTACGTCTTCATCTATGGAGCCCTGGTGAGTTGACCTTCCTCTGTTCTGAGGAAAATTCATAAAAATGTGAAATGTTTCCAATATTATGTTTAGAAAAAATAAAGTAATTCTGTTTTCAGTAGAGAATATAATCACTTAAAATAAAACTGACAAAAGTATCTTTATTGAATAAGGACCAAATCATGAATCACAGAGACTAAAATAATTTCATTTTAGATTTGGACAAATACAAAAACATCACTAATAATTATAATTATTTTACAAAAGCCCACATCAAGCCTATTACTACCTGTTATTTTTTAACTTTACCTTCCTCTCTTCAGAGAGGAAGCTGCCTATTGCTAAGCGACCTGTCAGTCTCTCCGGCGGCATGGTAACGGGCATCCCCAGGAGCCTATCAGGAGACGAGAATGAGACGCCACCCAATTACCCATCACCCCCTACGCCTGCCTCAGCGGCCCAGCCCCCCTCTGCCGACCCAGAGAGCAGCCCGAACACTGAGGGGGGGGCAGGTACACACACACAGATAAAAACACACACATTGTTGAAATAGTTAGTAGGGGGAGGAAGTATTCAGAGGTCTCATTTATAAAACAGTGTGCAGAGAATAAAAACTCCTCCTGGAGGTCAAGCTCCCTGATGTAGCACACAGACCATAAGCTGTGCACAATTGGCCATGTCGTTGGACTCATCCAGTTGAATGAAAAAGTAGGAAGTCTCACAGATATCATTCAGAGCCGTTGCAGTGTTGGACTGTATTGTCATACAGGAGTACTGCGCTCAGTTTGACAGCAGCAGCTTCGTTAATCATCACTGAACAATATTTACAATACATTAGTACAATATTTCCCTCTGTGGTGTAGAGATGTACTGCAGTAGTAGTATAGCATAGCATTAAAAGTAAAGACTCAAGTAAACTACAAGTAGCTCAAACTTGTACTTAAGCAAAGTACTTGAGTAAATGTACTATGTTACATTCCACCACTGGTATAGCCTTGAATTGGGAATCACCAGAGGACCCACAATATGATATTATCATGATTCGATATTATTGCGATATTGCAATATGCAGAGCATTGTGATACAATATATTGTAATTAATTACCTTTTTTTCTAAGTGCAAGTTATCTCCTCAAAGGAAAAGTTTGTCAACATCAGTTTTACCTCATAACATAAAGTTTTCAGTCTGTTCGTCTGTCATAAAACCTGTCAAATGCTGCAAACATCTGACAAACTCAACCGTTGGCAGATTGAATTCTCTCTGCAAGGTTAGATTAAGTGTGTGAGTGAAACACTTCACATGCAGGTATCCCACTAACTGAATGGCAACACCCATGTTAGAAGCATTTGTTACAACCACAATCCCCCCCATTCTTGTGCTTTGCAGGACATGAGACAGCCGTCACTAGTCCTCTGTGAGATAATGTGCCGTTATAGTCACATATGAATCCACTGACCTTGAAGCCAAGTCAATGCCACCCTTTCTGCTTTACTCAAAGATTCCTCAGCGTTATGCTTCACTTCTCTGTGGTCTGTGTTGGTGAAAACACATCAGGATGGAGTCACATACCTGGGTTCCAGAGTTTTTAGCATGTAACAAAAGCCTTCGTTTTCAACACTGTACGGACACAGGTCTTTGCACATGAAGTAGGTGATGGAGTGTGTTCTTTTCTTAGCTTGCTCAGAGTTGGATGGTAGTTTTGTCAAGCTGAGTGTGTCCTGTATTGATTGATTTTTGGTGGAGTGGGTTTAGCGTTAGATTGGCTGTCAGAGGCTAACGCTATCTCTGGATGGTGCAGTGTGAGGTTAGCCATGCTAGTAGTATTTCCAGTATTTTAATTCTCATATGACACTGCTTGCAAATCTCATGTGTCATATCCAAGTCCTCCTTTCCTTCTGTGTAAAAAATCCAAAGTAAGTCCAGACATTTGATTTTAACGCAGACTGCACATTTCTAATTTATTTCTCCAGTGCCTCCATCTTTGTTTTGATGAACTTCCTGCCAAATGCCGCTGACTGAGACCTCTCCTGACCTCACCAGGAAAAAAACATCAGCACCATCTAGTGGACTGAAAAGGCAGCTGATTTTATTATTCTAGTGCCAAAAGTAGTATTAAAATGTGTAATTGTAAAAATTAATAATGTATATAATAAAAGATCGATACTTGGCGTTCAATATTGCCACACAAAATATTGCGATACTATGGTGTATTAATTATTTCCCCCACCCCTAATATAGCAATTTAAAAGAGTGTGTAAGCAAACATGTAATATATTGTGTGAACAACTACTCACATTGCACAATGGCAACTTTTATTTTCCCCAATTATTATTTTATTAAATTTCCTTTTTTTATATTTTATGTTATGGTTCATTGTTTTAATATTTCTTCAAAATAATTAGCTTGTTAAATATTACTTGGTATTTTGCATTACAAAAATGAAGATGTGTCTCACAACCTACGGTGTCACCCAATTAAGTTTCAAACTGATTATTTTGAATATGTGGTTTAAAACTTTTTGAGGACCTGTGAGCCAGTCAATGTCCATGTTGATCTCAGCAAGAGTAGTCCAGTCTTTGTGGAAAGAGCTTCTAAATGTTGTGTTTTGCTTCTGCAGGTTCACAGATTAAAGAAGAGAACGTAGAAGGAACTGAATTATCTTCTGAAAGGACTGAAACAGAAACAAACGGATCTTCTGGAGAATTCACCAACCAGGACCAGTAGGCCTAATCCATCCCTCTCTGCCTCTATCTCTCCCTCCATCTGTCTCTATATTTATGAGTTTCAAAACTCATCAAACGCATCTACTGTGATAAATCAGATTTTTTTGAAATCTGTTTGGACAAACTTTAGACATGCTACATGTTGTTAGCTAAATGATGCACTTCACTTAGGTCAGCTTGGCTCACTTCTCCAAGCCCTCTCGTTTTTTGTTGTTACAGTACTGGTGTTGAGTCATAGAGCTCCTGTTGCCCAAAGGCGGCAACAGACGGTTTCACAGCTCAGCATCACGCAGTTTTTTTGCTTAAGTTGAAACATTTCAACGTCTTTCATTTGCATTTGGTCTGAACGCACCTTTTGACTCCTCACTGAGAAATGAGGGTGAAGAAAACCAGAATACAAAAACAAATACAGGTTAAAACAAAGGAGGACAGGCACGTCCAAGACAGTAGCATTACTCACATTTTGTTCCTCTTAGAAAAAAAAAAAACAGTCAACATGGGGGGAAAAAAAGACAACACGATAAGAAAACTTTTGTATTATGATTTTTCAACAGGAACATCTTTGTTGTTTGTAGGTGTTCATGTGGTGTGTTCGAGGGTCAGAACTCGACGTTAATATTAATACAAGATGCTGTGTAATGTCATGTTGAGATTAGCAGTCATTTAAAAACTTTGTACGTGTGTGTGTGTGTGTGTGATTGCTGTGGTTTAGATTCTGGATTGACGAGTTGTCAGGATGCCACAAGACAAGAAACCAGCCAACAAGAGCCACGGCAGTTACTGGTTTTGTTTTTTTAAACCAATGCTGAAAGTCTGTGACAAAGTCGTGTTGAGGAGGCCACATAATCTTGTAGCTGTATAGCTGCAGTATGTTGTATATTGTTGTGTGTGCAGTATCAGTTTGGAGGAAAGTTTAAAAGCAGTCAAAAGTGAGTGTAGTTTGGCTTAAGGTGTTTTACCAAAATTCTTTTTTACATAGACATCCTCCATGTCAGGAGAGATACACTTTGTTCCAAACACCAGTTCAGTCATAGCTACAGGGCTCTGTCACAGTAGTTGCAATAAATGCACGGTCAAATGATTGCAATAAGAGATTAACGTCGGTCGAGTACTTCAAACTTTTCAATACTGGGGCCAGTTCAATATTTGAGTTTCAGGACCAGTGCCTTATTAAATAATACCATTTTTTGCCTTTTTTCACCACATTTTCAGAAGATTTTAGCTCTTCATTTTCTGCTCGTATTGCTTATAATGGCAATACCACATGTGAAAGAAATGACCGATCAGAGCCAGAGTCTCTAATGCAGCTGTCAGTGATGACAGTCACTGCTTGTAAACTATGGTCAAACTAGGTAGCGCTGATCAAATATGAATGAAATTTTTTTTATTGCATTGCCTATTTCTGGCCTTAAACATATTTAGAAACTTTGGGCGTCGGTGGCTTAGTGGTAGAGCAGGCGCCCCATGTACAAGGCTGTTGCCGCAGCAGCCTGGGTTCGACTCCAGCCTGTGGCCCTTTGCTGCATGTCATTCCCTCTCTCTCCCCCTTTCACACCCAGCTTTCCTATTGATTAAAGGCAAAAATGCCCCAAAAAATATCGTTAAAAAATATATAGTTAGAAACTTATTTTAGTGTACTGAAGAAAGTTTATAACCCAGCTCAGAAACAGTCGAGCTGAAAGCTTAGCACTGCCCACAAGCTGGAGCACTGATGTGCACCATACCATGGTGCACATCAGTACCATGCACAGATTGTTCAAGAGATGTTTTGACTCCCAACTGTGTGAAAACCATGTCTCTGTTCTGGTAGCAGTTTATACTCTGACAGAAAAGTGAAATAAAACTGGATGTTAGCAACACAGCTAATAAATTACTTTAGCCTCCTGTTTTTGACTCTCCGGCTCTCAGTTCCCTCAAAGGTCAAAACTATAGTAAGACAGCTTGCAATTAGTTAAAGGCACAAAGTTGTTTGTCTATATAAATAAGTAGACCTACGCCTAGTATCGAAAATATCCCCTTGGTATCAGTCAGAAACTCAGGTATTGTCTGGTATTGAAAATTTTGCAGCATAATACTTGACATTTTTTGATACTCAAACAAGATTTTTAGTTTCCGTGTTTTTTAGCTGCTGCAGTGGGAGGTTAGAAAGTCAGACTCCAGGGGTCCGTTTCACAAAGCAGGTTTAGTGAAAACTCAGAGTCTGTTAACCCTGAAATGAGGGAAACTCTGAGTTTTCCGTTTCAAAAAGGGAGGTAACTCAAACCAGAGAAAGAGGGGTAACTCTAGCCTGTTTCAGAGAGAGAGGTAACTTAAGCTCTCGGTCAGTTACCGTAGTAACAGACTCTATGAACCTAACCTGGTCGGGACCAGGTTTTTCTCAATGAACCTTGAGTTTCTCTCTGTCTCCGCCCTCTTTCAGAGCCACACACTCCATTTGATTTCCTCATTCATTCAGTCAGCAGGCGAGTTTTGGCGTAGCCTAGTTCTGCCTTCTGTCATTTAAAAAAATCATTTAAAAAAATCAGAGTCAGTATATTAGAAGTCCATTAGGCACAGTAGGTGGCGACTTTTTTCACTAACATGGCATGTCCTTTTGATAACGATCCCGTGGATGAAGGTGCAGCATTACTGCGCAGAGAATTAAATATTCGTCAGGAGATGGTTATCAGACCGCGCATAGATGTTCTAGCATTTCCACACAATTATCTTTTTGAGCTGTACCGTTTCACGTCACAGTCCATCATCTACATACACAACCTAATCCGTCCTTACATTTGCAACATTACCAATCGTAGTCATGCTCTCACATCCCAGCAGATATTGTGTGTTGCGCTCATACTGTATAAAAATGCGCTGTGTTTCTTTGCAAATGGAAGTTTTTTGTACAATGTCGGAGACACTGAGCACTTGAGTAAGGCAGCTGTATGCAGGGCGGTCAGAAAAGTGTGCTCGTTTTACGGGCATCTGCCTTCTTTCTGTTGGCTGAGTAGAAGTCTGTGTTAGTTTAAATAGGCTTAATTATTTAACAGAACATGATATAGATGAGAAGACATTTATGTGTGTGAAAACAGCATTATGTTGGGGATAAAACAACTGCACAGTCAAACAGCCACTTAATATTTACTTTACAATGTAAAACATGATCAAAATGAAGTACCCCCATGAGATTATGCCGAGGTCTTACCTGTTTGAACAATGTTTATATATTTCATCCTAAACTGCTGCCAAGTGCGCTTCTCCCCTGCGGGATTACACCTAAAAGAAATAAATTAATAGGCTACCATTCAAGCAGTTTTCCCCTGTAATATTATTGTGATTGCAAAGGACTTTAAACTTATGCATTCTCCCACGCCGTCTCCCTCTCTTTTGCAGCTGCAGCGGTGTTGCACTTCTTTTTGAAAACGTGTTCAAACTCGCAGTATGAGCGCATTAAGATTTCTAATTCTAGTGGGGTGAAAAACGCCCTCCCCGTCCCCGTTGCCATGGTGACTCGTAGAATCGGGGCTCCATTGATGCTGGCTTTTTATAGTTGTGGTGCACGCGCTTAACTCCAGGTGAAACTACTCTGAGTTGATTAAACTGATTCAAATCAGCTGTTCTGGAACCGGAAACTCAGAGTTTCCTATCTCAGAGTAGATCAACTCAGAGTTCAGAATTAGACTCAGAGTTTGTTGAACCTGCTTTGTGAAACGGACCCCTGATTTTAAGGCTCATGTTTAAACTCCCCATTTTGTTTTTTTTTTAAATATCTAATTAAAAGTTGTACTGGGATTTATTCAGTAGTCACCAGCGTGTTTATACTGGGCAGCTCAGTGGTTACATGTGTGAAACTATATGAATGTGAAGCAGGGTGTTGATGAGGAAATGATATGTACAGAGTCAGACTGTGGACAAATAAAACACTTCATGGAGTTGTTCAACAAACTGATAGCAGTTTAGCAGCTAAGAGTAATTATGTACGTCTTCTATTGCTAACTATTGATACCTCACAAAAAGTTTATTAAATAATGATTTAAACAATCTTCAGAATTTAAAAGTTGGAATACAAAATAGTATATTAGAGAATATTTAAAAAAAAAAAAAAAAGTTGTGGTAAAGATGATCACATTCTAAAAACAGATGGTAAACATAGAATAAGTGTGTAATAAATTAATAAAATTAATTGAGCTAGACATTCATAAAGAGAATAAATACGTTTCAAATTTAACACTAACAACAATATTATTATACAAAAATATTTTTATTTAAGTCATGTATCACCACAGGTTAATATTATTTCATGTTTGTGACTTCTGTTTAACATTGTTACTTTTGCCGAAGTTAGCTTATTAACACCCATTTAAAACAAATATTAGATATACATGCTCATGGTTAGCATTAGGCATTAAGCTGGAAAAGGTTCAGTCATGTTCAGACCCAAACGGAATCTGACGATTTAAAAAAAAAAAAAAAGTTATGCTGTATTGTTTTTCTTGTAGTGTGCTGGACAAGTGACTCTCACCCTTTTACATGTGAAGGACCCCAAACTTGATACACGTTAGGCAATTCTGTAGTTATGAACTATATGAAATAACTGTGGTGAAAGTGAAACCTATGATCAGAAAAGTGACTCTCTCTGTCCTACTCACATTGGTATCACTTCTGTGGTGAATTGAACTGTAAAATTAACTATTCTCTATTTTTGGGGGGACCCCCTGAAACTCCCCCAAGAACCCCCGGGGGTCCTCAGACTGGGTGAGAACCACTGTGCTCGACTACATTCTTTTAAAAAACTTTTAAAAAATCTGTGGAGATGTCGTCAGATTCAGCAGACACAGAATCCATCTGGGCTTGGTCATGTTACGCTTCTGTCCTGCATAGGGTCCATCACCCATTTGGTTAAAGAGCATACAGACAAGAATACGTTCCTTGTTTTGGTGCTATCTTTTCCCCAACTCTGGCAAAGTTTTTTATCCACATTTAAACTATCACATGACGTCCTGTTTGCTAGTGTGTTAACATTGATATAACATTCTAGCATGGTAACATGGCTAGCACATTCATAAGTTCAATCTGACGCTCCACTCAGAGCATTCTATTTCTATGTGAATTAACCAGTGGTTAAGTTAAACACACTTGGTGCTCTGCTGCTCCGCTTCCCCAGAAAGAGTGCCCAGGGTACACTCTGCTGCTCCCAGAGGTGGTGCTCTGAATAACCAAATGGTAAATTCCCTCAGCACTCCAAATTTCTGAATAGTCTAGTTTGTGCCAGAGTGTGCTCCTGCACTTGAAGTGAGTATATCCGAACACACCCCATAGTAACATGCTAACTTTGTAGCCTGGTAAAATGCAGAGTAACCTTCCCATATTTACATAACATGCATAGTAACATAATAAAATTTAGTATATTGGCAAGTTAGCAGTCTGTGTTAGCTTCCATCTCAGAGCAAGGCGCTTAGTTTTTCAGGTATCATGTAGAAAAATGCTGACTGAGTGCAAATTTCGACCTCCCAGTTATGTTATGTGCTTTCACCAGAATTATTAGATTTCATCATGCTGGGATCATCCATGAATCTGTTTAATTGCATGGCAAACCATCAACATGTACAAAATGTTGCGACATAAGGCAACATGAGTAGACTGAGCTTGCAGGTAGTTTCTTCGAAGAAACAGCAGTTTGATCAAAAAAGTCTCAAAATGGGCTCCAACTTTATTGTTTTCAAAGCTGTCAACAACATGGCTGTCCTGAGCTTACCAACTTATCTCAGAAACAAGTAAAATGTGTTGAGAATTATTTTGTCAAACACAAGTACAGTTCTTAGATTTTTCCCATTATGGAGAAAAATTTACAAAAGCTCAGTTGCAATGGAAATGCAGCCTCAATGTGTAGCAAGGGCCAAAATTAAGAGAAAAGATGCCTTTTAAAACTTAACTTAAATATTTGTGTTAGTGTAGACGTGGCTGAAGAAAGACTTCAGGGACCGTGACGTGTCAGATTGTGTTGGTGCTGACAGTAACAGCTCTACCATTGTCGGTATCTTGATTCAAGCTTTTTCTGTCTGTGATATTCAGTGTTGGTTTTGTCTAAACGTGTGTATGTATCTGAAAATGTCAAGAGTTTGTACAGACAATATGATGGCAGTAATGTCATTTTTAAATTAAGCGAGTGAGTTTTAATTACAATTCTGAATGTCCTTAGTTTGTGTGTTTGATTGAAGTCCCGGTCCAACCTCATCATTTCAGCTCTTGGAATTGTTGTCATTAGTTTACAGTAATATTAACCATAATCATAACCTCTCCAAAATCATTCCTGATGTGATTAATAGGTAGTCCAAGGGCCAAGCGGGGCCTTGAAGGTCCCCTGTGGCATGTAATATTAGTTAGTTCGTTGGCTAGTTAACACAAAGCTATCAATACAGGTACATCAGACCTTAGCAACTACAGTGTAAGCGACAATGTCATCTAGGCTAATTAGTAGTG